AGAAGAAGAAGAAGAAGAAGAAGAAGAAGAAGAAGAAGAAGAAGAAGAAGAAGAAGAAGAAGAAGAAGAAGAAGAAGAAGAAGAAGACGATGTCGATGCACGATTGCGTTCAATTAATCGTCAAGTCGTAATACATAAATAGAAATCGATCATTATCAGTTTTACCTCCAATAGAATAGGACCAACTTGATCGTTGGACAGTATGTTAGGATTTGACGAAGATACTTCCCCTTGTTGCACGGCATGACTGTTCGAGCCCTCTTGTTGTCTGATGTGCCGAATCTGTAAGGTAAAACATTGATGTCAGAAAATACATGTAAACGTAGTTTAGTAAGCATAAATGTATTGTCGGCACGTGGTAGTAGGTTGACCTACTAACTGGCTGGCAGCTATTGAAAATCTGATTTTATTTTGCAAAGGAAGCTTTTTTATCTTATCCAAAGAAAAGAAAATAAATAATACAAAAAAAATATATATATATAAAAAAAAACAGGAAAGATGATATATCCGGTAAAAAAAAAGAAATGTTTTTTTTTTGTTGAATTACAAGTAGAAAAAAAATATACATATAAATTTTATTAAATATTTTTGTTCTCAACGACCATTGTAAGTTTTCGTGTAAGAGAACACAATGTGTAGTAGTGGTGTCCAACGAGATCCGTATATTGATGAGAATAAATTTCATACGAATGACGCATACCCCTCCAATGCAACACACTTCGACTTTTACAAATGCAATCTCATTTTTCTACATGTCGAAAAATGGAACGAGATGCCGACGATGCTAAAAATTTTTATAACGTAAATCACTGGGCGCGCGAGCAAAGCTTTCACCAGTTATTCGAGATTTCCAAAAAGAAAAGACGAGTAAAAGAAATAAACACCTTAAAAGATGCGTACAAAGAATTCATGCATTCTCTTTCATTGAATAATGCTATTCGTTTTTCTTTTACCACGCCATTGCAATTTCACGCATAAAGATAATACGAAATGCTGATTCGACTTTTCCTCCTTCTTCCCGCGATCATGAATCGTTCGAAGAATTTAAATCGAACGTTCCATTCATATAATTATTTTATACGAATAAGAATTCATTTATGTATTTTATTATAAAATATGATTCGATAGAAAAGGAATGAGATATAATTATACGAAGTAGCGAAAGTTTTAGAATATTCTAGAATCGTAATTGTGACGTCGAGCAACTTTGTTTCAATGATACAAAAAAAAATAATAGAAGGAAAAAAAAATATAGAAAGAAGATTTGACGCATAACGAAAATTCAAAATGGAAAAGTCGTTCGTTTTTGCGATTCATTCGATTCGATGATCGTGATAGTACCTAAATGGGCAGGCAAGGCGGACAAACGAGAAAATAATCAGGTTGGGTGACCTCCATCCGCCATTTTAAAACCAAAATAGTCACGTGTTCTGGAATACTACTCTATATACAATGGATGCATCCACGAGGCAGAGAAGCTTGCTTGCAACAATATCGCTTCGTCGTTTAACACTTTCGCTAAAGCATTTGTAAAAGTTTCAAACTTATCAGACAGAAAAATCGAATGAATTATAAAAAGCAAATTTACAAATTAATGACGATGACGATTTTACATTAGCAATCGACGACGAAGGTAAGGCATAGTAGAATCGTGTACGTTCTAATATCTTTAATAAATTTAAGATTATGTTTTCAGTGGTTACTGGAATACATAAGTATCTATTGAAAGTATTAAATAACGATCATTAACGATTCCATGTAAAATAACATTTCAACGGGTTAAAACACAACGGAAACGGTAAATTTTATTCACAAGAGTCACTTAATTATTTCCTACAGAAAGCGCGAGTCAGGCAGGTCAAGCTAAAACGTAACGAATGAATGTTACGAGCTGTTTCGAACAATGGTTAAAAAGTTCTACTAAAGTTTATAGTAGTAAGTATTGCCTACGATATGGAAGAAGATCGAAAGAGAGGCCCGGCAGCAGTAAAAAGACACAATCCTGTTCGAGATGAGTCATTTTTCGTTCGGTGCATCGTCTTATACCCACCACCACCATGCGCGCTTGTAAGAAAATCCTCTGGAAGACCTCAAAAAGTGAGTGAGCTTATCTCAAGGAAGAAAAGTAAAAGATTTCATCATGGATCCATAAAGAGAAATAAAGAAGAAACTTTTGCTACCTCGAAGAACGTCCGTCGTAAATGCGTCACAGAGAACTTACCGTTGGAGAAGGTGGTACGGTGGGGGTGGGATAACTGAGGGATTGTGAGTCGCATATGGCTCCTTTTCTCCTCCTATTTGTTCCGGCAAGGTAAGAGAAGAGAACCTCCCCCCACTATATTTCAAGTAGGGAACTCACTTGCTCTTCGACTACAGAACTTTTACTTCTTTTCTTTGTTTTTTTCATGTTTTTTTTTTTTTGACAAAAAGGTGCATGGATTGGTGCCTAATGAACTTAAATCGTAGGGGAATGGATTTATTGATGGCGAGGACGGACGGGACCGTGCGGGCTCACGACAGAGAAGAAGAACTTGCCCACCCTTGACGTACGCAAAAGAAAGAGAAAAAAAGTAAGACAGAAGATCTCTGCAAAACCGACCAACATTCATGGTCAAAGAAGGAATGAGGAGAAGTGTTGAGCGTCCTTGAGCTCGTATTTCGCAGCTCCGATAGATCGCGCTCGTAATCTCGATAGATTTAAACGGACAGACATGCGGCTATGATGGTATGATGGTATGATGGTATGATGGTATGATGNTGATGATGATGATGATGATGATGATGATGATGATGATGATGATGATGATGATGATGATGATGATGATGATGATGATGATGATGATGGTGATGATGATGATGATGATGATGATGATGATGATGATGATGATGGTGATGATGATGATGATGATGATGATGATGATCACGACTATGACTATGTGACTATGAAAACGAATAATATGAAAAGAATTGAGAAGAATAAGAGTCAACGACAAGGGCGATGACGATAACGATGACGATTGCAATGACGGCGACGATAGTAAAAATGGCGACAGTAAAGAAGAAGACGATGCTGGTAGTGATAGATATATAGTGGTAGTGGTAGTGATGATGATGATGATGATGATGATGATGATGATGGTGGTAGTAGTAGAGGTAGAGGTAGTGGTAGTGTTGTGGTAGTGGTGGTGGTGGCCTCGAAAAGTCGGTGACTCCACCGAGTCCGACAAACGGTGTGCGATGTTGCCGCTAGTCGTTTCACGATGGCACACGCATATGCGCGTGCGCGTGCATATACATACATATGTAAGAGAGTATCTCAATACCTCTAGCTCTATTTTAACGTAATAAATTTTTAACTCCAGTTTGTCCCATCAATCTTTTCTAACGTATAATTTATGAAAAAGAAAAGAACAAAATAAAGAAAAGAAACAAAGTCCAAGCTAAAAGAGAAGATAAAAATGGATACAAAGAGAGAGAGAGAGAGAGAGAGAGAGAGAGAGAGAGAGAGAGAGAGAGAGAGAGAGAGATCTTCCTCGATTATTGGTACGTATGTATGTATATATCTTCCTTTTATCGAGGTCAAAGTCCGCTCTAGACCTAGAGAATCAAGAAGAGGATCGAAATACGATGCTGCACAAATTCTTTCAATTCGCTTCTTCTCTTGGGAGACGTAATCGCTGCTGTTGCTGTTGTGTTGTTACTGTTGCTGTTGCTGTTGCTGCTGATGCTGTTGCTGCCGTATCTCTTTCAGTCTTCTCCTCTTCATCCTCCTCATCTTCCTCATCCTTCTTTTCCTCCCCCTTCCCCAGCAGCCGCTTGTCGGTGCCCCGCTGAAAGACCATGCGCAAGCGTTACTGCGCACGTGACGTCACGCAGATCCATGCTCAGGTAGCTCTCTCGGGTTGTAACGCCGCGAAAAAGGATGCTTCCTATTGATCTCAGTGACGTCATTCAAGGTCGCGTCACGAGATTCTGACTGTCTGTCTGACTGACTGGCTGACTAGCTGACTGACTGACTGACTGACTGACTGACTGACTGACTGACTGACTGACTGACTGACTGACTGACTGACTGACTGACTGACTGACCGATCGACTGATAGACTAACTCTTTTTTTTGTCTTCTTTTCCTTATTGTATTTACCGTTCACATACTTTCTTTCTGTCTATAGATTTGCGTTACATTATGTATGCTGTAAAAATATTTATTTCTAAATAAGAGATCTTCAAGTTGCCTCCATTTAAAGTAATAAAAGTGAATAGTGGACCAATCGAGATGAAACAAAACCGACTATTATAGAACCGAATGAGTCTATGAAGATTGATTAGATCTATCGAAAAGTTTTCTGACCGTTCAAAGTACAATTTTATTTATACAAAGATAAAACTTTTATCACAAAGACAAGATGATAAAGCTGTTAACATTAATGAATAATTGTATCTAAAATATATAAAGAATATATATAATTCATGTAAATTATGATAAAAATATATTTAAATATTTCGAGAACATTTCGATAGTAGATCTGTTAAATAAAAATAGGTGAAAGAGAAAAGTATTTAAAAAAAAAAAAAATTAAAGAGAAAGAAAAAGAATGAAGAAAAAGGCAAATGCGCGAGTATAGTTTCGTTTGGTTTCGTTACAAAGTTGTCGCCTTCGGAATCGACACGTGCTCGGACGTGAAGCGCACACGATTTCAGCACAACGTGCTCGAGTGAGAGAATGAGCGAATCAGCGAAAGAGAGATGGCAAATAAGGTAGATGTGAGAGGGAGGGGAAGGGGAAAGGGGTTGAGAAAGACGGGAAGTCGTAACCCTTCTCTTTCCTTTGAACACGGACGCGCACGCATAAGCGCACGCATACACCATAAACGCAGGCGCACTCGCGCACTCGTGCGCATTTGTCCCATAACTGATAACCGGGCGTAGATTATGGACAATTTTTCTACGATTTGGAAAACTTTACAAGAAGCACTGATAAAATATCACCCAAAGAAGAGAAAAAGACTGCTCTCTTTTCTTTGAAAAACGAGATCGAGGTTTGGCTTCTTATCGCATTTGTGACCCTGATGCCGAACATTCAATTTTTTCTTTCTTTCTAGTTTAATGCGATTATATAGCGTAAATAAATGTGACACAGTATCTCTTGAAATTTATTCTAAACGTTTTACCGTAATATTTGACTTATCAACAAGTATAATAAAATCGTCGTCTCCTAAAAATGTCTTATAAATAAATCGTATATATATAGAAGTTTGCATTTAAATAGGATTAGAGAAAATCAGAAATGAAGCGACGAGAAAATAGAACAAATATTTTCGTCTAAAGATCCATTTCTTGGATTTACCAAAAACCGCCCCAAAAAAAAACGTGTAAACAAATTTAGAAAATACACTCTCTCCTTATGTCGTCTCGTTTCTCGTTTGGTATTATAACGCGTTGAAATTTCGATGAAAACCACGATAATTTGTTTTTTATTCCACTATCGGATGTATAAAGATTGCATATACGTACGCAATAAGAAGAAGAAGAAGAAAAAGAAGAAGAAGTAGAAGAAGTAGAAGAAAGGTGCATACGCGTTTTGTTGAAGGAGCAAACGCGCGTACCAAGATCGATTCAACGAACGGAGAAGAAAAAAAAAAGACGAGCTTGGCCCAGATTCAGAAGATATTGCTCGGTCGACGACTCCAGAAGTAGTCTCGTGTTGTATACCTTTACTTTTCTTCCCAAAGAAAGCAAAAGCCCTTTCTCTTCTTTCACACAGTTTTTCTCTATCCACCACTCTGAACGACGACGTTTGTAGTACGATGATTACTACTACTTATATCATTTCACATTAGGACACCATACCATTATTAAATTTCCATTAAAAAGAAATATATATATACGTCAATTAATGACACGACGAAGAACTTTTTTTTCTTTTCACTTTTAACTATTCAAAACACAGAAAAAAAAAAAAGAAAAATATTTTCAAGAGGAATGTTTCGAATACGATTCGTTTCAAAATGACAATATATTACTCTGTGGCTATCAACGGCACGATATCCCACGGACATCCTGGAAGGAACTCGGTAATCCCGCCTACGCGACGACGACGTTTCTTCTAATCGCAAGTAGACCCTCATCCCCTCTTCTTCCCTTCCTTTCCCTTTCCACCCCCTACCTATATAGTATCAAATGTTCTAAGCCGAAAAAAGAATAATCTAACCGTAATAGTCCAAAAGTAATTGGTTTACGCATATAGATGACATTAGATGCGTCAACATTCCTATCTCTAATAATCTTTGAATGTTCTAACAAAGAGTAGCAGCACTATGAATCAAATGAAACTATCAATGTCAAGTCACTTTTTGGTTTTCCTCGAATTTCTCAAACTTTCCGACTGGAAATGACTAAATGTATTTCTCAATAATAATGACGAAGCAATGTAAATGGTGATGATAATAATTATAATGATAATAGTAGTTTATAATACGTTCCATAGATCTTGCTTAATTCTTTGATGCGTTCCCGTATCCATTTATAGATAATAAATTTTGTAACGTTTCGGTTTAATTTAAAGAAAAAAAAATACATTTATTAATAAATCAACCTAATATAGAATGAAAAATGACTATTTATTATAGTGTATGAAATGAAATGTTTTGTACAAGAAGAGGTCGGTAAACTTTGGATTAAACAAAACGAAATCTCGGGATATTTTCTCTCAAACGAAAAGTATCGATTGTTAATTGGTATTAGTGATAAAAAGATATACATTTTCATATTGATAAAACGTATGCTATCGATAAGGACGTTTTAACGTTTGTACGATCATAACTAATCGATAATATACCCAATTTCTTTTAATCGACAAATCTTTTTCTACGCATAACCTATTTATTAAGTACTTACTTATTAAAAAAAAAAAAAAAAATGAAGTATCGTCGAAAATCTTGATGGTCCACGTTTTGTATCACGATTAACACACAAAAATCGTACAAACACGTACACGTACACACATACTCATTGCATTACCGAAGTAGAATATTTAAAGAAATATCAACGCGAGCATATCGATATGGTCGTTGTTGAACAAGATAGCGAATCGTTATCGATAGGAAAATAAATTTGATTTAAAAACACGTTCTCCGACGACCACGAAACAAATTTCGAGATCGATTTTTTCCTCCTATGATATACCTGATTTTTTTCCTTTTTTTATTATTGGCTAACGACATTTGTATGAATTAATTTGAAAAAAAAAAAAATCGAATATAAGAGAAAACTTACTTGATCGACGGTTCTTTGAAGGATCTGACATTTGTCGGTCTTGCCAGAGCTCATGTCCGTGACGGAAATCAGCTCGGCAAGCTCATCGAAATACAGGTTCTCCTGGTTACGTCGTCGTTTTTCGTTAAGGCACTTGTTACTGTAAACAAATCAAAAATAAATGTCATTTTATCACGTATTCTTATTAAGGGGTAACACCACTATAGAATTTTCAAAAAATCGTTTTTTTTTTAAACATAAAGTGTACTTTAGACATCAAAAAACATTATGCACTTGGTCCTGTAGAAAAAAAAATGTTTAACAGAGCAAAATCCTATTTTTACGAAACGTCTCAAAGCGCCTCGAATAGTGATAACAAAACTTTACACGCGTTTTTCTCGAAATTACATTTTTAAAATCGGGCGGACTCAGAACTCGAGCATCATTTAACCGATTGACTTGAAATTTTGAAGATAGTTTGATAGTTGTATTTTCTACAGAAGTAAATATCCGATTTTTAATTGAATGTAAACTTTTAATTTTATAAACAATTTTCTACATTTTTTTTCGTCGAAAAGTCGATTTTTTTATTCAAAGTTGAGTCATTTTCACAAAATTTGATTTAGGGAGAAATCCGTATGTACTTCTCAAAATAATAGTACATAGATTAAGAATTTCTTTTGCTTTTAAACAATTAGCATGGATGTGTCCAAACAGATTGAACGATTGACTTTTTCAAAATATTAATTTTTTACAAAATGGCACACTTTTGAAAATAAAGTTCCTAATTTTAACAAACAAACAAAAAAACGCCTATTTTCGGTTAAAAAAAATATATTAATAAAAAATAAAAAACTGATCGTTCAATCTGTTCAGACACATCCATACTAATTATTTACATTGATTTTTTTTATTTCAGATGATCCAGTAATGAGATTTTTTATTCACCGCAAACCACCTTTTTTTTGGACCTCACGCAGATTGGCTATAACTCGCTTGTGTCTCAATATTTTTACATACAAAAATTATTGTAATATCTTCAAACATGTATATTTTGAACTACAGATGAACGTAAGTAAATAAATAAATCAGTTAAAAAAAAAAAATCGTAAAAAAAAGCGTTTTTTTCGGATCTCTAAGTATATATAACCCCTTAACATAAATTAAAAGTTATAAAATATACTACCTATATGATTGTATTATTCGTACAATTTTCGAATTGATGAAATATTGTCTATCGATTTTATTTCAAAAATCTGTCTAGTTTTATACCCAAAAGGTATAAAAAAAGAAGATGGAAACGCAGTAGCAAAAAATCGGACCAATTGTCGAAAATTGTTAAACGTTGACCTAGTTTACAGAAAACAAAAAAAAAACAAAACGAGAGAATATTATTACGATACTCCAGAAATGACATATCAAAATGTATTGTATATTTCTATCAATTAAATCCGTATAATGATTCTTTAAATTGGATTTAAAATAACATAAAGATAACTTTTAACAACACATTGTATATATTATATTATATTATATACTTACATCTGCGATTGCGGTTTGGCATCCGATTTCTTCCTTTTCTTACCGATGCTACCGGTGATTGCGCTCATTTTGGCCCACAGTGGGTCCAGCAGTTCACATGGGCTAGGCCTACAAATCAAATCAAATCAAAGAAAAACAACATTAAATACAAATTTCCTTTTACAAGTGGGTAAACAGAAATGCGATTAGAATCCATAACGAGAAAATAATGAATGTTATGCGTGATAGAATAATCTACGTTGTTGATCTAAATTGTCATTTATCATCGTTTACATTCTCACAATGAAAAAGAATAAAAAAAAAAAAAAAAACAAATGACAAATAGAAAGAGAGAGTTAGAAGAAGAATTTTCGTCAAATAAAGTTCGAAATATAAGTAGATTTTTAGCGAAAGGGAAAAGGAAAGAGAGTAAGTAACATTACGGTCGAACGTAACTCGGTCGCATGGTGTTCATGAGACTGGAAAGCAAGGTGAATCCATGGAATCCGATAATCACGCTATTCTATTGTTTCACAGTATCTAACAAAGTATTAGGTATGTAGATCTTGGGCAACTTATCTGAGATAAGTAGTAGTTTCTCTGTGAAAAACGGTAGTTCCTGCCATCTCCGCCTCTCTCTCTCTCTCTCTCTCTCTCTTTCTCTCTCTCTCTCTCTATCTTTCTCTTTCTCTCTCTCTGCATCTACGTCAAGCATCCACGCCGAAGCGAGCCTTGATCAATAACTTTTGCGCGCGAGAATACGAGCCTCTCACCAAGGAATCTTTCCTTGCTATCGCAAGATTTCCAATTTTCCGTCTTGCGGAAGAGAACACAATAATAAACGTCCCGAAAATAAATAAATTCAGTGGATTTTCTTTCATGACAATAATAATCTTGTTAGTTTCCACTTCTTTGGACTCCATTATTGTCAATACACTAAAACTCTTGGATAGGAACAAGGTCATCGCGACTAGGAAACAACACCCACTGACTTTTTCATTCTTGCTATTACACGATGCGCCATGGAACCTCCGAATGGAACCAAATGGAACGGAACGGAACGAGCAGAGAACGGAAAGGGGGGAGGGAGGGCGGGAGAAAGAAGAGAAGGTGGTATACGACGATCGTCGGGGAAGACGCGCGCAACCCTCTTCTATTCCAATTCGATAAAAGAGATGCAAAAGTAGGTGAGAGTGAACCCGATCGTGGGGATGCTACGTCATCATCACTTATCACATAGAAAAGCACCTTGCATCGTGCAGCTGCTGTGCATCCACCACCACGTTGCTGTCATTCGTTCAACACTTGCTACAACTCTTCTTCTCACTTTTACACACTCTGCCTCCTTCACCTCTTCCTCCTTTTTTGGTTTCTTTTTTCACTAGGCTAGTGACAGCAACGATAACACTAAATTCTTGCAGATAAGTGAAAAAAGAGAAATACAGGAAGAACCTCTTCTTTTTCTTCTTCTTCTTCTTCTTTCACTTTCTTCCTTTGGTAGATTAATAATGGGAACGATAACAGAATATTTTTGCAGAACGGATGCAAAAGAAAAAAAAAAAAAAGAAAAGAGAGACAAAAAGAAGTTTTCTCTCTTTCTTTTTTGGTTTCTCTTTTCGCCACGTTAACAACAGCTAGACAGAAAAAAAGAAATCTTTTTTTTTTTCAAAAAACTAATAACAACAACGACAGCAGTAGATTGTCAATGCATGCGTTAAAGAGAAAGAGAGACACTAATCAGACACACGCATGCATGCACGCACACAGGACACACACACACACAGCACTCGTGTAACTCCTTTCTATCTAAGTCTCTAGGTATACACGAACGTCCCCGGATCATAGATTGACTAGTTTTCTATTATCAAGAGAAGGGGAGAGGATGGCAGAGGGGGCGAGAGAGCGAGAGAGAGTGATTGTGTAAGAAAGAGAGAGGAAGAGTAAGGCTAAGGTGCGAGAAAGAAGAAAAATGGTGACGCGAAGCGAGCAAACTAGCGTGGCTTGACTGTGACGCCACGCTCGGAGTATCGGTTGTGGGTCGACACGTAAATGCGGGACCTGTACCCGCGTGTAATATAGGTCAGTGGGCCAGGGCGATCATGGCAACGCGGACATGCGCGTCGAGCCGCGAGCAAGCGAGACGTTCCGAGATATCCACTCTCTCAGAGTATTTTTATTATTTCTCTTTCTTTCTCTTTTATTTTATTTCATTTTATTTTTCTAATACCAATCATTATCGGAGCTACCGGATGCTGGTGATACTGGTGTGTACAAAACGTGAGGTATACTCTTATTTTTCACAAATTTTTTTATGTGACTTTTTTTTATAGAATAAATACTTTCTTCGTTGTTTATTAAGATAAAAGCTTTAGATTTGTTAGTAATTTTTTTTTTTTCAAAGTTTTCATATACGACTTTTATTATGCGACATTCTTCCTGCCTTCTAAAGTTCCGATCCCTCCAAGGTTGACCGTCTCTTTCTTGCATACCGATACGACCACTCATTCTCCATCCTTCCACCTAATGTGTATATATATGTATATATATATTGTTCTTCGTTGTGATGTTCGCTTTTAGTGCACTTCCAATCACAATAAACTTGCACTTTCACGGACGAACACCTGTTCTATTAACTATTTACATTCGTTAAGATTCTCACCTAATGATCTCTCTTTCTCTCTCTCTCTCTCTCTCTCTCTCTCTCTCTCTCTCTCTTTCTCTCTTGATATTTCGTTCCATATGACCAAACAATTTCCTTTTTCTTCTACGCTATGATAAACTACTATTTATATAACTGATCGATTTTGATGCAACAAGAAAAATGTGTGAAGAATAAATAAAAAAAAAAGGAAAAGTATCTCGTAAATATAGGACGCGTGAGCAATTTATTTGAAATAAAGTTTGTAAAATAGATTAGGAATTTACCAATGGCCTTCTACGGTAATCAACTAAACGTTATACGATCTTTACAAAGACTCGACGAACGTGTATTTCGTAACTCAAATCCACTAGGCTAGATTTAATGAAAAATAAAAACAAGGCATTAACGAAAGAGAACGAGATTTTGCGATTCGATGACCGCGCTTCGTTAACAGGACACACATGAACCAACTTTCACCGGACTTATCGAATTCACTTTCAAAATGATCATCGTTTCTTCGATTGAAAACTTTTAGAAATTCATTTTGAAACGTGTTTTATACAACTAGTCTAAAAACAAATATTACATCAAAGAATTAAAATATTCGCTAAGATACGAGATCAGAAGAACGTTGTTTAATTGACAAAAAGGACGAATAGGAAATAATTGAATGAATTCAAATTACGATACTGCGAATAAATGGTTATGTACAAATATTGACAAACTAAAATTCGAGGCTAATTCAATTGATTCAATCAATTGTCATCTCTGAAAAAAAAAAGTTTTAGTTGACGAATAAATTACTCCAATATACGAATTCAAGTCTTAAACGTTGAAATTAAACAATATATCCTGGCAATTTCGTAATCTCAACTATAAAATCCCTCCCCTAATAATGGTCACGGTATCTTGACCATCTTTAACGAATCTGTACTCGTAAAGAAAATTTTAACTAAAATTACAATATAATGAGTGAGTGAGTGAGTGAGTGAGTGAGTGAGAGAGAGAGAGAGAGAGAGAGAGAGAGAGAGAGAGANGTGAGTGAGTGAGTGAGTGAGTGAGTGAGAGAGAGAGAGAGAGAGAGAGAGAGAGAGAGAGAGAGAAAGAAAGAAAGAAAGAAAGAAAGAAGGGGGAATGGCAAACACACGAGGACGACGAAGGAAAGTGAACCTGAACTCCGTAAAGAAGAATCAGAACGGCGAAAGCGTAGGTCACTAACAGAAAGAGAGAGAAAGAGAGAGAAGTTATACACACATTGGTAGTTAAGTGCAGAAACTCTCTGGTCGATGGCCGTGGCTGAGGTACATTCGCGTCTTTCAAACAGTTTACGAGCTCGTGCCTATACCAGAGAAGTGTGTTACTAGCGAAGCGTAACCGAGAGAGTGAGAGAGAGAGAGAGAGAGAGAGAGAGACCTCGACCAAATTAAATGTGCGGTCACTTCCTACGAACGACTATAGATATTAATTCTGTCATATTACTATCGAAACGAGCTACGAATCTTGATTTCTTATGCAAACGGCCAACGAGGATCAATTTCTTTTTTTTTAATCCAAAACAAATAATTTTTTATATGTGTGCATATATATTGTGCATTCGAAGGTTATATTATGTTGTTTGAAATAGGGGAAAAAAAAAACCAGTCACGTCCTAGTTTTGTCTCGAGCTTAAATAAAAACACCATAAGCGTTTTCATCAGTTACGACAACATAATCGTTCGCATTCGAACGAACTTTAAACCGATATACGCCTCGATGACGTTTACGATCTCTTCAATCGATGAACGCGGCCGCTCTTTCTTCTCCTGCCACCCACCCATCCCCTTCTCTCTCTCTCTCTCTCTCTTCCCAAGTTCGTGCTTTGGAACAGCTGCCAGATTGAACTTGTAGCACCAGCTGGATACTCGGAACGGCTCTCCCGTTTTTCTCTCTCTCTCTCTCTCGTAGCAACCTGAAATTTGCTTTTGGCTCTGTCCCATTTTGATCAATTCTTTAGCTCGTTTTCCACGTTCCATGTTGTACCGAATGAGATTATCCCGAATGAATTGTCTTTTTTTTTTTTTTTTTAAATGAACATAACAAATGACAACATGGGTTATACAAGGATAATATACAACATGAAGTATATCTAATAAATGGAGGGTAGAGGTATTTGGTAAAGTGTCTAGCGTATGCTATAAATAACAGTTCAAAAACCTTCCAGAATGGCGTTGGTGTAGACAAAGGGTATGGTATGAATGTAGCAATTGTAAACGAATTGAAATATACCGAGTTAAAAAATGTAATATTATTGAGGACTAAAGTAGTTAATTATTGAAAATTTCAACTACTTGGGTGGTACAAAATAATGTAGTAAATACAACCTTAAAGAATTATTATGAGAAAACGTGTAGCTAGAGTGATTTTATTTCGTGAACTGTGAATAGTACGTTTATTGATTTTTTATCATTTAATTTTATGAAAAAGTATGTCAATAACAAAACAGTTATGG